GATAAGTATACATTCACACTATACGTACAGAAAATATAAAATAAACAGAAACAAAATAACAACTAAATGAAGTAATGCAATAAATAAAGCATACACAATAAATTAAAATTATATAATTTAAAGATAAGTAAATTAAAAAAACAAAAAATATTTAAATATTATTATTTATTTGACGCGAAACAGCCCTGAAGGACTACGCGACTATGATACTGGTTTCTTTTTCAATTTCTTCCTTTCTGCCTATCTCTGCTTGAGGATATCGCTAAAGTTTTTCTTCCTCTCCTCCGTCCACTTCCTCCTGGACGGAAGTTCCTTTCTGTCCACCATATGCACCGCACTTTTCAGGAATTTCTTGTATTCTGTCCTATCCTCATATAATTACCGTGTTACCCCAAGCCTCTGTATTTCCTAGGTTATTTGTACCGTATATCCATGGTTAAACTTGTATCGCATAACCCTACTGAAAATCTTCTTGTTTAACCTCTCCTCGGTCATCCTTTGCATGTGTCCATAAAATCTAAGCCTTCTTACCCTCATTTCCGTTTCGAAATCAGAGGTTTCACTGTAAATCTCCATTGTCTCCGTACCATACAGTATCACTGGCTTTATCACTGTATTGTAGTGCCTGATTTTGGACTTTTTTGACAGGCATTTTTTATTATAAATGCTACTCGTTAAGTAGCATAATTTCTCCAAATGTTTTATCCTAGACTCCATGCTCTCTTTCTCCGATAAATTTCTGCTGATTACTTCGCCCAGGTATTTAAAGCTTTTAACCACCTTGATTTTACCGAATTCTGTTTTTATTCCTGTCTTCCTAAAGTTGGGGTTTGTGGTCATAAATTTATTCTTCTGGAGGGAGATTTTAAGTCCAGTTTCCTCAACTATTTTATTTCAGCGAATTTATTTGTCTAATCGCCTCTTCCTCCGGCTTAGTCAATAGGGCCAAGTCATCCGCAAAAGCTAGACATCTTACTAGGATATTGCTCCTTTGATTTCCTAATTTAGCTTTATATATTATATATATATATATATATATATATATATATATATATATATATATATATATATTATATTACAGTGTAGATTATTGTTCTATTATCAATGTAAGCATGAATATGGTTTTTTTTTTTTAAATAACTTTAATATAACCTATTTCTAATTGCGGCTGAATGGAATATTTGATTTGATGAGATGTTACGGAAGAGGAACTGACGCGAAGCTCGGCTGGCTATAAGAGGAGGTGCCGTTCCGCTTGGTCGGAGGTTAATGAAGTTATTGGAACCCTATCAGTGCCCATAACTCCACAGTGATAGCCGATACGGCACAACATGAAACCGTCGATCGTCACCGTACGATCCAATCACAATACATCTTTCAGAGCAGCGCCATCTCAAAGTATTCCCTGATTTTGCAATTCTGATAACGAGGACAAATCGTACTAGTACCGACGTCGATGTAAAAACTCAGGTATATAAAATTTATATATTCTTTATTTCCAGATCGGCTTCGTGAAACAATAGTCTCTTACAAAAGGCACTCTTAAAATTAATGACAGCTTAATAAAATAAATGAATAAATAGTTGGCACGTGTGAGAAATTCATATAGTATACAATTGGTCAGCGAAAATATTCCAAAATAATATGGTTTGTTTGTTTCGATGTCTAGGATCAAAACATCCAGGTCATCAGCGCCACACTACTTTTGTACTGTTGAGGTGATTGGTAGAAAAAATAAAAAAAAGGATCAAAAATAAAAAAAAATAAAAGAATAAAATAAATAAACTAAGATACTTGTAGATATCAGATAAGATAGAATAGATAAATAAATACACTTTAAAAAAATAGCAATACAATTAATAAATGAATTGAAAATAATAAATAAATGAACTTTAAAAATTAAAAAAAAAATCTGCAAAGAATCATTAGTTATAAACTTGTCATATATATTTTGTAAATCTTTCATTGCCTAGGATCTTCGTAACTTTGGTGATGATTTCTTCTTGATTTCCACAAGATACTGAAATATCCTGCGGTATTCCGACATCTTTTAAGCTTGCGGTATAAAATGGTCACTTCCAAAACATGTTTTACAGTTAATTACTGGTCACACTTTTGACATCAGGGGATAAGATGTTTTGCTATGAAGTGGAGGTGTGTCAGTCTAGTATGTCCGATCCTCAGCCGCGTGAAGCCGACTTCTTCTCTACGACTGCTGTGTTTGGAGATGCTCCAGGGTTGCACTTCTTTCTTCATTGTCTTTAATTTGCTAGGTGCGCTATCGTCCTATCGTCTTTGCCGTTCTTAGGATATGGTTTTTCTTAGAGGTCTTGCAAGTTCAGATATATGCAAGCTTTGCCGCGGCCTGGAAGGGTAAGAGCTTTTGCTGCTCTATCAGCCATTTCGTTTCCTTTGATGCCTATATGGCCAGGCGACCAGATAAATTGTGCCGTTGTTCCAATTTCATGAAGAATTTTTATAAGATTTAGAATGCAGTGTATCCCTGGATGGTAGATACATGTTATTCGTTGCTTTCAGATATTTGTGATCTGTGTGAGTCCGATACCACTACCACGGTTGCAACTGGATTCTTCATGAAGTATCGGTGACTCATTGCGATGGCGTTTATCTCTGTGTAAACACTACAAATATCACGTAATTTATATTTGTAGGTAGTATCAGGGATGGCAAAGGCTGGTGCAGTAGATGTATCTGATTAGATCCGTCGGTGAATAATATGGTAATAATGAAATGCAAAGTGTAATGCGATGGAGGAATTAATTTTCATTCAAAATTATTTATCAAAACATGTGTACCAATTGTAATTGGTGAACAAATTACTGTATCTTTACTAAAAATGGTCCGATTCCGATATATTCATTTTGTAGTAAATTTTAAAACCTTTTGAAAATCCAAGCTAAGGCTTACTTAAAAAGTATATTTTGTAGAAATTATGTATTGAGATAAATTGCCTAACATACCTCTCCTGAAGTACATTAACCGAAAAAAAAAAAAAAAAAAAAAAAATATATATATATATATATATATATATATATATATATAATATATATATATATATATATTATAACCCAAGAGACCCTTGGGAATTCAGAACTGTTCTTAGTTTACACATTTAATAAATTTTTAATAAGACGAAGACAAATTATAATTATTTACAGTACTTTAATTCTGTGCCCCGGAGGTGAAGTGTACCTTTTTTTATTAAATTATTAAGTGACTAATAAACAAATTGTAAGTTATGGATAATTGTATAAACTGAACAAATACAAAAATGGACATGGTATATAACTATAATAAAAACGTGATAGACATAGCTCAGGAAATATTGTCTTTTTTGGCTTATTCCGCCGTAATTATTATAGTTATAAACTCCGTTGGATATTTAGAATCACTGTATTCTCCTTTTTAATACTTAAAACTTTAAAATGGAAAACATATTCAGTTATGTAGGTATAATCTCCTTTTTAAAAAACACATTTTTGCTCTAGTATGGACCACTCCGAAATTCAATTGTTCTAGTGACAGGTGGTCGATACCAGTAATAGACGTACCTCAGAATAAATAAAAAATCTTTATTTAACTATAAATTCCGAGTCAGGGTGGCTCTTCCCCTCCTTCAGAAGACAGTACTTCCTAGGTACATTCCTTTACCAAATAATCTATAATCATCGTCCGTCCTATTAATAATTAATATTAATATATATATTATTAATATATATATATATATATATATATATATATATATATATATATAATATATTAATATTAATATATAATATATAATATTAATATATATATATATATTAATATTAATATTATATATATATATATATATATATATATATATATATATATTAATATATGTATATTGTATATATACTATTGTACTATTATTGTATTCTCACTATTATTGTATTATTGTGTGTATATATTATGTATGTACGATTATACTATTATTGTATTTCGATTATACTATTATGTACTTCGAACATACTACTATTACTATAACATCTCTATTATTATTTGTCGCTCATTTATAATTTCATAGCGTATTGTGTATAGCAACTATTTTGCAGTATTAGGACCTTATTTCTCATATTAAGGCTTCCTATATCTGTACAGTTATGTAAATACTTCTTTTATCCCTTATTTTTTAGTTTTTTTTTTTTTTTTTTTGTTTGTTTGTTTTTGTTTTTTGTAATATACTGTTTGGCCAGATGTAATGTTAATTTTATGTACAATATTGTTATTCTCAAGGGACGTAGTCCCAGAATAAAGTTGATTCTTTTATTCTATTCTATAAACAGGAGATAACATAAATGTTTAACTTACTCATAACAAAACTGTTAGTAGGAAGGTATGAAACACACTGATCTCAAGACCACTAAAGAAACAACGACAGGCATTATAAACTTTTCTTTAGCGAATTTTGTTCGTACAGTTGTCAATAGATAGCATTGTTCATCAATGTAGAAAAAAAAAAACTGGAACCTTTCAATCAACATGGAAGCTTATTAATTACATTAAAAGTCCAACCTGCCCTAAATACCCAGTTTAATATATTATTAAATAAATATTTTTTAAAATGTATTTATTTTGTTCTTAACAGCCTGGTCAAATTATCCTGTATAAGTTATTTTCCTAAAAAAATGATACCATTATAATTGTGTCGCATATTAATTTAGTTGTTTTCTTCAATCAGGCGGAAGACATCTTTTGCTTCAAAATCCCTAAACTGCTTCCAGAAACGACTAAGGAATATTATATATTCACTTTAATGTTTTCAACTTAATTAATGATAATTCTACCCCATAAGAGGATCGAGTCTTCTAGTATATAAATGATAAAACGGTGAAAGGAAGGAAACCTTTGTTTATCCGACGGCAGAGCGTTGTTATACATTTAGAAGGGAGTAGACATTGTTATTAGAGGAAGGGACAGAGGAATCCCAGATCCAGATCACGTCCCTTGCTAATTACTTCCACCGATCCTCCAGAGGTTGAGGCACGTCAGCAAACAGAAGGCCAAATACAAAACAGGCCGCTTTTTATTTATTCTCCTTCTGTTTATCCTCTTCTCGCCCAATCTAATTTTTTCTCTCTTTTCCTCTTTCCTCTCTAGAATCTAGTTAAACCGGAAAAAGAGAAGTTTTCAATAGCTGACCTATGGCGAGGCACAGTTTTTTTTTTTTTAAACCAAAACCAATCATGCAGAAAAAAAAACTTCCAACAAGTATAGGAAGAAAAATAATTCTAAAAATCCGAATAGGTCCCAACAGGCTCAGTGATAGACTGTGCCGGTGAGCTATTTCCATATGACAACGCACTTCCATTGGGAGATCATTTGCAATCATTAAAATCATAAAGTTTTCCACAGAGAAATATTAAATCTAGAGGTAATTTGGACCATACCAGCAATAAAAACTTCAGGATCATCCCCACATTCCTAGAGGAAAGATTAGGTGTCCTGGACTACGTATGAACAATTAATAACACCAGAAAGTATACTTATGTTAAATATCGGAAGTGGATGACTAAAAATAAGTTTGAAAGTGGACAAAAGAGATTGGGTGATATCAAAGAATGATGTCATGGACAGAGGTAAATAGATCAACAGATGTTATGGTTGAACAAGACCATATTGGCCAATTAAAAATACGCCCAAAAAAAATTTAGCTGCATCAAAAACTTGAAAAAACTGAGAGTGGGAGAAGGAGAGGAGGGTGTTCATACATTCAATCATTTGTTTACACATCGTCGGTGTAAAAAGGACAAAATCGACATATTGGGAGTTTTTGATTTTTTTTTTTTAATGAATAGAATAAAGAAATCCAGTAACCCCTAAATATTTGTCAATCAGGTCAGTATTGTTTCCACATGATTTCTATTGATTAAATAAGAAAATTAACATCTGTTCTGCCTCACAAATTTAACATAAACTATCTTAGGTATTAATATTATTTAGTTTTTTTCTTTTCTCGTTCTACACACTTACCTATTCCTCTCAGAGCCCTGTGCTTTCCTCTCCTACGACCACTTCTTCCGCGAACTCCTCCGTTCCGCTGTCCCCCCATTTTGTCAACATGTTTTCGGAATTCGACTCTACCTATTAACACGTCACTTGTTATATTCAATTCGGCCATTTCATTCCTTATCAGTTCCGGTTAATCTTTTCTATTTTTCAATGAGATTTTTCTTATTTAATCTATTTTTTTCCATCCTGACTTATATCCCGCATTGTATAGGTTGCTATTATTCTTCAATTTGTACTCCTCCTTCATTTTCGTATTGCCATATACATTAGACTAAATTTTCCTTTCCGTTTTCAACAACGCTTTCATATTAGGGAACCCTATTATTACTGCGTCGTTCAATATACCGGTTTTGTAGTGCCTACGTTTTCACCATTTAATTGCATGTCTGTTTCGTTTTTTCCCCGAAAAGTTTTCATAACTTTGCCCAATACAACGGTAAATAAAATCGGCGATGATCATTCTGTCTTAATACTGTTTTTATTTGAAATGATTTGCTTATTTCTCCTCTGAACACAACTTTCGAGTTGATTTCGGTTAATGTTAATCGAATTCCACATTTTCTAGTCTAGACGACCATATTGTTCTAGAATTTTGTAAAGAATCTCTCTATCCACCGACTTATATGCCTTTTGGGCAAACCGAACGAGCTATATTTGAACTGTAAGCGTGTGAATAAAAATTTAATTAAATTTTTATACGCACACATAACCTAAAGCAGAAGATGGAATTAGATAACTTGATAATTTCTTCTCTATATAATACATCCTGATTTAAGACCAGAGTTTAAAACGGTCATGTAATTTCGGCAAATACTACTTTGAAGTCTGAGAGGACGTATATTGGATTTTTGTGTCTTACTAAAATTGCTGTGTCGTCTGCATATGATGTTAAACTTTTAGAACTACACAGAGTACTGAGATTTTGGGGTAAGCCTGCTAAGATAGAACTGATAGAAGATAGTTCTGACCCCCTTTGCACGGAGAAAAATCTGTTTGAAAGGAAAGATTATTAGTAGAATTAGGTGATAAATAGGTAGAAGTATTGTCTTGAGTTTAAATAGAAGACATTGGTCCCAAACTCTGTCTAACGCTTGAGCAACATCTAAAAATACCCCAGTTGCATACACTAACGAATGCAGGATTTAATTTTTTTTTGGAGGGGGGCTTCAGCTTGAAATTTTTTCTGTATTTTTTTATGTATGCATATATCAGGATAATTATTTTGGAAGAAAGAAACTAACAACCTATATGAAAGGGTGTTTGATTGATTCTTTAAGCTTGAGCATTATGGTAATTTGAGGGTTTTTTTATTGAGGTGCAAATTCAGTTGTACTCAGTATTGCATTATATGCTATTATATTTTGTAACGAACATCTAATTTACTGATTGTCATTACCATTTTTGACGAATTTGAATAAAAAATTTGAAGAAGAGTGTGTTGGGGATTGCAATCATGGAATTATATGAAAATAAATATAATTTATAAATTATATATAGTATTATTTAAACTATATTATATATGATATAATTTATAAAATATAATTCATTTTTATGCAATTCTAAGACTGCAATCTCCAACCAACATCTCAATAATATTTTTTTATTATTCCAATTTATTAATTGAGAACATGGTTAGTTTTAAATCCTATGATTACAATGATAAATCATTGGATTATTGGATTTGAAAATATCAGTTATCTTTCATAATTTGTTGAAAAAACTGATATTTACCTAAGATTCACAATCAATTAATATCACGATAATTCATGAGTTTGATATGAAATATTCAAGGAAAACAATTTAATTATTTTCAATTATTTATTGTAAACATATAAACCCAAATTTTATGATTTCTGTAAATGCATCAGAGGTGTTGATTCAATATCTTAAAGAGCGATAAGATGGAAAAAAAACGAACTGCTGACATTTAAGTCCTCTTCTAAGAACAAGTGAAACAGGGGAATTTCATTAGGGCTGAAAAACGTGTTCTCTTTACTTTAGTGAGGTTTATATCTAACGCCAGCAGTCTCTTTGACAGGAACAAAAAAAAAAAGAGGCGTGATGTGTGAACTTTTTAAACTGTCCAACCGTTATAATTTTGCTGAACAGAATTTTAAGAGGAGAATGGATATTTAAACTAAGGAAAAAAAATATATGACATGAAAAAAGTTTTGATTCATTGTTCATGAATTGAGAAAATGATAATGGGTTTGTTACTGTATGCATGGATAAAATGCTAATTAGGGTTGGTAAACTCGTCACATTTTGCGTTATATTTCATATTTAACTAATAAATAAAAAATAAATTTCCTCATGTTAAGTTGAAAGTAGAGAATGGAATTTGATTAAATTTGTATGAGACCATATTCGAAAGTTATTATTTAGCTAAAACCATAAAACAACTATATAGTATTGGCAAAAAAGTATTGTAAATAGAAAAATAGTTATTATAACTTTAAGAAACAGTCGTCGACTTCCACTAACTCAAGTGAAACGTTTCAAATAAGGTAAAAAAAAAGTTACAGGTTATTTATTAAGATAAATTTATCACATGAATTTGACTAGAGATCCACGTGTGAGTAAATTGAATTATTGGTGCTTAATACGTGGTACATGAGTTGAAACTTTCGATCATGAGGAAATAAAATGTTTTAAGTTCCTGCATGAATGGAATGATTTTCTACCTTCGGTATCGATGAAACGAACAATTTAATCACAGTGTTTAGACTTGAGGCAGAACTATTTCTTTGTTGCCACGCAAAGTGGGGAGACAAAACGCTCGATTTTCTAGACATGGATTTTTCATTTAAATATTTCCTTATAATAACTTTAACGGTTGCATAGGGTTCATTCTCTATGTAATTTGTTATACTGAAACGAGTGGTCAGTTCGTATGACAATAGGAATAACGTGAAAAAAAAACTTTTTAGTTCCTGCCCTAATCTAAACTAATTTTAAGTCAGCTAATGTAAGTCTAAATAAAATTAAATAAAAAAGTAATAAAGTTGAGACGAAAATCCGTTAAAACTGTTTGAAAATAGATACAAATACAAATATTCTTCTTATCTACAGAATAAAAGGTTATCTTATTCAGATTTAAGTAAGTTTAGTCAATTTTTGTCATATGTGATATATTAAAGAAAAGCTGTAAGTAGATTTACAGAGTAAGAAATAGAATCTCAAGTCTTATCAATGTAGTATGATTTCTTGAAATTCAAATGCTTAATATTTTCACGAGTCTTAATTTTTTTCACGCATAATACCTTACTGCATACATAGGCATTTTTTCCAATAAAAATACATTTTTAAAATTATTGAATTTATATAAGTTTATCTATATGAGAAATTATGTAAGAAAATAAATTACTTATTATGATGCTATCCGAATTCTCTCTTTCTTTTTTTTTAATTTTGTTTAAATTAATCTATTTTTCAACTTTCTGTACGTCTTATTATCTCATGGTTGGTTATAAGATAAATAGCCATGTAATTTAGTAACAAAAGACTTTAAAATCATTTAATTTTGTGGCATGTAAATTGAACCACCGATAATTTGAATAGATTCTTCTGAGTTCTTCACTTAGATGGCCAGGTCAGAGACTAAAATGAAGAATTCAGTAGTCCTCCTAAGGTCCTCCAGGTTTTCGTAAAGCTTTATTTGCAACTCAGTTAGAGAGGACCAGATCAGACTGCTTTCGTGAGGATAGAATCTGCACGTTTGCAGTATATGCTGGGCATATCGTTCTTAATCAAGGTACTTGCAGAGGGGACTATAGCCAATGTGAAACTTCCTGAACAGGCGGGCTTGGAACCTGTTGGACCCCGTTCGAAAATTGAAGATTAAGACCTGCTCTTTGGTGTCGAGATGTGCATGACTTCTGATCCATCGCTGGTTCATATTAGTTTTGTTTAGAGTTTTTGCCACTTCTAGACTGATCATACAGTCAGACATTGGGATTGAGGCCTCTTCTTTAAGCTTAAAGCTGGTCTACCTTTTCGTTTCCAGAGAGACCGTAATGTCCAGGAATCCATCCACTTTCTCGTGAATGGACATAGCTCTTTGACAAGAAATTTAGACTTTTCTCTACTTCGACCCGAATTTTTGCAACACTGACACTCCATCAGTAAGGGACTCAATTTTGAGTTTTCGAGTCTCTTAAATGTTCTTAAAAGTTTCGACGTCCCACAGTTGGCTTCTGGCTCAGCTCAATAATTCGAAGAATTGATGGCAGTTGGAACAGCCTTCTGAATAATGTTGCAGGAAATTGCAAACGCGACACCGGCCACACAGTCCGTAGTTGCAATCCTTGAGTATATATTCGAGTCAACGAGTCAGGTACTTGGTATTTATGTGTTGGGGGAGAGAGATTTCTCAAATTCCTGGAGATTTATTTATAAATTTTCAAACAGATTTATATTAATAAATAAATAATTTGAAAATAAATAAAATTTATTGTTAGAAATATTTGGAGTTGCTTGAAAACAAACTATAATACAATTCAAATCCTAAGGAACATATCAGTAAACATTTTAATATTAACATGGAAATTTCTAATTTTGGTCAATGTCGTGTCCACATTGATACGTGGTTCTAGACTATTCTTTCCCATTTTTTCATTTGTTTCAGAAAAGCATTTATGCGAATAAATTTAACTGTCTATAAATAAGATAATACATCTACATACATTTCTCAGATATCTCTGAATACAATATAAACAACCTATGCTTATGTTATAAATTATATAAGCATTCCACAATGCCTGTGTTGAGATAAGGGGTAAGTAGACTATATTGCTATAATATAAGTAGGTGAAGGAGCAAACAGGGCCAAAGGGATGGGGGGGGGGAGGGATGGAGTGAGGGCGGTAGAAGGCGAAGACAGGGAAGGAAGAGGGTTGATTTATGGCGGCATAGCGGAACAAGATTGTTTCCTTAATAACAGATCGTAAAGTTCAGCCTGTATTCAGTCCGCTAATGCCTTTACAAAATGGGAGGAGGTGTCGGCCCTTTCAGGGTGCCCTTCCTTTATATACAAAACTGGTCTCGTGGATCGGCAGTTCGACTAAGGGAGGTTATGTGGTTAATGCTGTAGTTGTTTGTCTCGAAAGTAGGAGATATAACTTCTCCCGAATAGATTATTTCCCAATTTCAAACTAAAAATGACTGTGGCCTGAAAAATAGAATGTCTAGATTCAAATGAAAAAAAAAAAAAATGTATATATACACATACATATATAAGTCAATTGAGTACACTGTTTGAGCAACATCATTTTTGTAATTCTGATTTGTGAATAGAGGGTTTTCAAGAAGCCTTTTGTATATATTTTTTTGGAATAATCCTTTTTGATGTTTTTGGAATTTATGATGATCTCATTGATAATTCGAAATAAACATAAATTAATTATACAAAATATGCAATCACACATCACAAGTCTTGAAGAATGGTGATAAAACTGGAGGATTAAAATCAATCCCATCTAATTATCTTTATCTTTCCTCGTAAACCTATGACTTTCTGTCCTACAGTATCCTTTAACAATACCTCACTTATCCCTGTTAGTGTTGCCCAAATGCGAGACAGTCTTGCAGTTAACTATTAACTTATTAATATAGAGATATTACTGTGGTTTTTCAGATAGAGGAAACATAACTAAACCGAAATGAAAAATTGAAATGCAAAATCTTCGTCTTGCAAAGTGCAAGATTTTGGATTTTGGGAAACACTAATCCCTGTTAAAGAAACCCGATACTTAAGACTTCACCTGGACAAACGACTCACTTGGAACCATCACACCAGACTGAAACTTCCCGACGTTTTTGAGTACTCCAGCATTAACTAGACAAACGCTATAAACTTACAATTATTTACAAAACGAGTCATATATATCAGTATAATAAGGCCTATTTTACTCGGGGTCTAATTTACGTGATAGAGCTTTGGTGCTCAACTTAACCATTTAATTCTCTCGTATCCAACCATTACAAACCAAAATTCATCGGAAAATCCTCAATGCATCCTACCTTGTCACAAATAAAATCATCCTTAACGACCTTAATATAGCATAAATTTACGATATACCTATCCTTCCATAATAAACTTATGAGGCATCCGAACCTTATTGTTTCTAACCTTGCTTCCTCTTCTATTCTTGATAATCCTCCGAGGCGTCTGAAAAGAAGATGGAACAATATGGACAATATGGAACAATACTCGGTAACAATATGGAACTATAATTGGAGTGCTACCCATGAGTAGTTTCTCTTCATTTTGTACATTTCATGTCATTAATTTTAAATTTACTGGTTGTATTTTTCATGTAGTCCAATTATAAATTTCAATAAATATGTTTAAAACAATTAATTATTCAATCGTAGTGACCGTCGAAACATGGATAATGACAAATATGTCTTTAACCGTTGTCACAGAGATCAGATAAGAGGAATTTACACATAATCAGGCATCGCCGATGTGGTCTTAGAGTACGAAAGAGTGCTTTCACAACTTCCGGCAATAACCGCGATGAAATCCGAAAACTTACCGGCTTTCATGCAAGAATATTTTAATTTGTTGTTGATAAATTATAACTGTATCAGATAATTTATGTATTCTCTTGTACTGTAGGTCATGGATCGACATCTTAGTTAATCCAGAGACATCCTCTATTAAGTAGTTTTCATTTAATTGGATTAAGAGAAAACCATAGTGGTTGAACGCAAATGCTAACTATCACTTTATCACTATTATAATCACTTTTAAAAACTGTATCTATCTTACTACTTAGTGAGCTACTAATCGTTCAAGGATTGTAGTTCAACTAATTCATGTTTTTCGATTCTATATTAATTTTACAATCAATACAACTTACTTCTACAACAAAGAATAGAACGATATCATCTAATCATTAGATTGCCGAATTACGGTCCGGGTAGCAATTACCTTGACTCAGCCAAAAAATGTTGACAATTTATGTTCAACTTTTAGACATTAATATCTCATTTAATGATTTACTAAATATGTATAGACTTAGTCTATCCTTTGCATATGTCAGGAGATGTCAGGGAGATAGGAGAAAATAATATATTTATACAACATGGAACACTTGTGATAAGGAAACCCCACGAGCACACACCGACCTCAGGGGCATCACGAATAACGGAAAAATGGGAAAGAATGGGAGCATTAGAAGGGTCTCGACAAAGATAAATGCTGGGGAAAGGCCGCCAGAGCCTGTTGCTCCAGCAAAAGAAAAAGATTGAAATATTCATACAAGGAAAACTTTTTTCGTTATCCACATTGCTGTGCTTCTCGAAAGAAAGGGGATGTCCGCGGGGGGTAAAAACTTTATGAGAGGCCTAGCCCATTGTAAGCTGAGCTCAATGGGCGCAATAACAAGGGTATCCTGGTCAGTCATATTTTTTTGAAAAGTTTTTGCAAGGGTCTGTCAGTATGTAGTTCTACAACACAGATCTACAATACCTTTTTTTATCTACGTTCTAATAATAAAACAAAAACGAAACCATGAAAAACATATGGTTCCTTGCCTCATTTAGTGTAGACCTGTCTCTATACAAACCATTATACAAGGTCATCATCCTTCATCAACAACCAGTTCTGATTTAATCGCAAATTTAACGCTGAACAGAAACATTAGAACAAATATGAGTAAGCAAATGAAGTCAAGAACAGTTTTTCCGCAGTTAAGAAAATATATTGAGTTTGATCCATTGAGCTGATACTGGTCTGATTCGACCTAACCTTATTCGTCATGACTATAGTTCCAATGTCGAAAGATGGATATTTCATGCACCAATTCCTCAAAACAAAATGACAAAAATGTATTTTACTCATTTTTTGTTACTTAAAAAACTGGTCAACACTTGATATACTGACCAAGTTCATAGGACTTTTTTTTTTACAATTAAGTCCCCAATAGTTGTCTTGTTTTGGGGAGACGTTGGATGTGAAGGTAGAAGTCGATTCAATACTTTTTCATCAGATAATGATTTCATGGTTAGACTCCAATGATGGTCCAATGGTCTCCAATGATTTCAAGATTAGACTGTTAACGTTAATAATTTGCTGAGATAGATGTATATCACACTTATATCACGGACCTAGATCTCAATTCGCAGCCAGCCTGACTGTCGCATTATAGTAAGCAAATTTGTGAATGCGAAATGTTTCTTCCATAACAATCCAAGTATTCAATTATTAAAGTTTCTACGTCCTTCATAAACTTGCGTTTTTCGTTTGAAGAATGGTTATTCCCTTCATATAATTTCAGATGTGATTTGGTTCATTGACTCAGCCGATATTTTTTACCATATATTATTTTCATATGATTGATCACATACCTATTCAAAGGACCAGAGGTTACGAAGTGGAACTTCTGATGCAAGTACCGAACCCAAAACTATATATAAATGGGAGTGGAAAAGTTTTTTTTTTTTGTCATTCGTATAGAATTTTCATGCGACTTTTCCAGAACGAATTCTCCAGGAATAAGTATTTTTTTCAATATTCTATTTTCCGTTATCTACTTTCAAATGGCAAGAGAGCTAGGATGATAAGGTGAATAACAGACAGCGGACTGACGCTGAGATCCTCAAGACGATAGCCAATAACTGGAAGGCTCTTCAACGTAGCCAAGAGCCGGCGGGGTGTAAAGTATGGAGCGATAAGACCGCTGAAGGGGAAGCTATAAAAGTATCAATAACCATCTCTGGAATGGCCTGCTCAGATATTTCGCTGAGAAAGAAAACATGCTTGCTATTGGATATTGCCAAGAACCGACATTAACAACCGATTTAATAGGTCATTACACAGTCGCTTCAACCAATAACCAGCAACATCTAAGTCTTATTTCAGTTCTATTACCTTGTTAATAATATTCAATGGGCCGCTGTGTATGAATAATAAATGACATTTTTTTTATCATTTGTGTTTTCTATCAACACACATTCTTAAACTTTAGTTTACACAATAGCGAATTACCCTCATAATCCTATCAAATTATTTCTATAAGCCACAAAGTGATAAAATTGTTAGTCCATGAGTGGCAATGAGGTAAAAAGTGATAATTAAATGATCTGAGATACAGAAGACAATCAAGCACATGTTATCAAAGAAGAGTCTCGGTGAGGGCTGGGTTAAGATTCGTTCGGATTAAAGCGGAATGGTTATGAAATGGTGAATTTTGATAAGTGTTGCCTCTCTACCGCAGCCGCAGTACAGACACTTTTAAATCAAAACTTATCCGGCACCAAGAGGAACGACAAGAAACTAATCTCTTGGAGAGAGAACTTCCCCACACAGAATTATTTAAGGGTTGCGAAGAAGATAAGCGATGCTTCAAGCGGTAAAAAGAGTCATACGTCTGGCACCAGGCTGAGATTTTTCAAGAATATTAACTAGAAACATATATACAAAGCGACATTACGCAAGGTATAGTCCAGAGCTGTTTTTGAGAAAATCGTAAAAATGTGTTAAATCGATTATATAACGTACCACCTCCGGTTTGCAGATTTCGACGAAAATGTTGCTGTAATATCCGAAGATTATAAAAAACTTCAAATATGCAATTTCAGTTTCATACAGCTTTTCGTTTTTGAGTTAGGCTGTTCACATACATACATACCTTCTGACCAGAACCTCTCCTGGAATAACTATATCTCCCAGATTACCCGAAAATCCATAACTGTCCTTAACAACCTCTATGATTCAGTGATTTTATTCCTCAAAAAACCAGACAGTTCCTTGTAACCTCCCTTATATTCCCAACCTTCGACTACGCCTGTTTGGTGTATGGAGTGCTATCTGCCAGGCTATAAATGAGCCTGAAGAAACTCATGAACTGTTTCATAAGATACATCTTCGGCATCCCCGGGCGTTCGCATGCATCGTTCTGGTACACTGAGTTGAAGTGGCTTTATCCTACTTCCCGACGATGATTTCTCCTTGGTGTTTTCCTTTTCCAAGCCTCAGAACCAGAAACCCTCCCTACATCCTGCAACTCCTTACTCTACGCTCCTCTATCCACTCTCTTAATACTAGGTCTCACCTATAGATTTATATATCCCCTCCCATAAAGCTAGTTCCTTAACCAAATCCTTCGTCATTCGTGCAACCTGCTTGTGGAACTCTCTTCCTACCTCCATACGTCAATTATCGTCCAAAAATTCCTTCAAACAAGTCCTGTTCCACCACCTAATCCACATTTAAACTTCCGCTAACATGTAAAATTACTTGTATCTGTATACTATTTTATTTCAACTACTGCACAATTGCAATAAAAATAAACAGTTAATATCTATAAATTTGTAACACTCTTATTATTCTTAGGGTACTGTGGTCTCAGAATAAAATTATTTTTTCATTCATTCATTCCACACACAGAGACCATTTTGTGGGACTTGGTTATTTGTACTCAGGAGACCTCAAAACGTGTATTTCCGTTGAGAACTCAGATTCGAAAATTGTCACGATCGCAATATTTTCCCTTATTATATATTACATATATAGGTAAGTGAAGGTAAAAAAGATAATCCTTAAGTGAAAGATGTGCGATGCGCGCACCAGAGTGTCGTTAATGATTGCTATTGTTTTTTTAACTTATTCATACGGCAAAATTAATAGCTCAGATGTCGGATATATGTATAACACAATATACAAAATAAAATTCAAATAATTGAAATAGAAAAATTGGAGAATAAATTGGAAACATATATAATGAACTAACTCTAAACCTATGTTACACATTAACAACTATCCTAAATACCAAAAAGTCAGGGGTAAGAAAGTAGGAGAAAATCTTGTTTGGTTTTATTTAATGCGAAGCGAAATAGGCGATAATATGATCGGAGTGGAGAAGTGCACGGAAGGTAGCGTGAGCAACAAATCAGTTCCCTGACCAATTCCTTTGCCTTTCTGTCCCTCCTTCCCCCTCCCCCCTCCCCACTACCCAACCGTGGGGGAGGGAAAATAGGTAAATTTACAATGCAATTTATTTTAAATTATCACCGGTAATGAACCCGCCAGAAATCATCAAGATTCAAAATAAATGAATTATGGGAAAGTGTTTTAGAAATTAAGATAAAGCACGTGTGAATGGCTCATTTATGTTGCAGTAAAACTTTGATTAATCGCCACTGATTCATGTGTCACTTAACGTTAATTAGAATACACTAGAAACAAAAAAACGCTGCAAATTATTTCACAATGGTTTATTATTTCCAAACAACTATACACCCAAAGTAACATTACCTTCCTAGTTACAAAGAAAAATAAATAAAAGGTGATTCCAATTATTGGACTAAACTTTTTTTTAAATATTAGTAATTAGCTAAAAAAATAGCATTATTTCAGTAACACATTCAAAATTTAAAAACCATTTTCAATCAAAGTATATAACATTTTGAGTAGAACATATTAAAAAAAAAACTGGAGACCATTTCTTTTGCTATGTATTGTAAAGACCGTCGGTGGAATAATTAGTTTAAAGGTATAAACAAATAAACATTAAGGTAATTTAGGTATTACCTAAATATAAACATATTTAGGTATAAACCCAACATCTGGCGGTTGGGTACCTGAGGGAGGGTAACCCATTAGGACAACCTTTTGTAAGTGGTAATAAAAACCCTTAAGGACCACCGACAAAGACCGACAAGTGTTTAAACAGGATCCCGAAAGACCTTTTCACACCTTCCACCAGAAATACCTAAGTCTGTACCTGCTGCTTTACCTTGGCCTGGGGGAGAGGGCGTGGTCATCCCTTAGGCTGAGAATATTCAGCCAATCAGGAAAAAGGCTGCCAAAAGAGAGGGGGATGAAAAAAGGTGGGAGATAGAGAATTTGGACAAGACACTTCTTCTGGGAACTTGGAGCTGAGAGGACTTCTTCTGGGGACTTCAAGCGGGGGAGTCGAGAGAGGAAGACGAAGACAGCCGGAGAGAGCAGATGGACGGACTAGACGCTGAAGGAGAGCAGAGACAGGGAATCCAGATATGACGGCTAGAAACACTATGAAGGACCAGCTAAGTGGTAACAAGCATTTAATTATACTAATGTAAATTTGTGTTGGCAACCATACATCATTAATTAATATAATCAATATATCACGTAACTTTAATCAAACATCAAGCATTCTCCTCTAGTATGATTCTTAACTATTCATTATGTATATAGATTTAGTTATTATTTTGTATATAGATGTTTTTGGTTTTATTTAAGCTTGTAAATATAATAGTTAGTAAACCAACGTAGTACTTTTACATTCTACCTTGCATGCCACCAATTAGTAATAGAAACAAATAGTACATTTATAAACATGATACCTTTAGAAAGGAAATCCAATAAAGAGTATATGGTTCAATCTAGGATACTACAGTAGGGGGTCTGTGGTATCTAATAATTAAATACATCATTAATATATTTTAAGTTTATCGGTTCCCTTCTGGGACCGATATAAATACATATAAATACAAATAAATGCGGTTCCTGGAACCCCTTACTCGCCGTAGAAACGCGAGGCCAGGAACATAGCACTTTGCTCCTAATTGTCCGATTTTAACGAGATTTTTTTTGTTTTTTAGGAAATTCGGTAAACTTTTAATATCGACAAAATATTGTATACTTTTTGAGTTATTCGGAATTAAATTTTACCATCCCTCGTAACTTTTTTTCCAGATTCTTTGAAGTATGTCATATAGATAAATTTAAAGGGCGTTAAGAAAATGACATTAGCGAAGTTTCATTGAAATCAGTACATTCGTTTAGGAGCTACAGTGTATAGCAACGCGGGTTTTTCGGCTGCCATTTTGAAAGTAAAAGGCGGATAGTAATGTCGATGAAGGAGGATCATCCTCGGGTGACCTCTGATTTTATATCCAAATTTGAAAAAAATCAGTCCAGTAGTTTCGAAGAAAATGCGCGGACGGCCAGCGGACAAAAAAAATTATTCGTTTTTCGAATTATACGCATCCTGAAACGATTTTGAATTTTTTGGTTTATAACAATGTTTGATTATTGAAAATAATAAACCAAAATATTTGTTTTTTTCCCACATGGTATTTAAAATAAAAATTTAATAACATCGAAATTTATTTTACCGGCTAATAATAATTTTATAATATCAATAAGATTGAAAATCCCGCCAGAAGAAAAATAAACAGGACCAAAATGATTTGACCACCATTACTGGAGAGTTTGTTGCAACAAAATACTTGTAGAACAATGGCAGATAAAATGGAATGAATGAACGAACAAGTTACAAGGAATTAAAAAAGACATACTACCATAGACTACCTCTTTCAGAAAGTGGATATCAGAAGAAATATCCTTGACAAGACTGATAATCGGACATGCCGCCTTCAGCACTCCTAGCTAATGAGAGACCTGTAACCACCTTTTGTGAAACATGCAACACACCACTTACACTGAAACACATAGTAACAACTTGCAGTTTTTACTCTGACATCAGAACAAATCACAATATACCATATACTATGACTGAAGCATTTCTCGATGACCATAAAATATTTTCATTTAATTAAACCATTGTATGATATGCCGTTAATGACCCGACCAGGAAAACGTGTAACCGGGGAATGTATTAATTAAATAAAATAATGGTAAGGAAAAGTTTTCTTTTGTTCGTCAAAGGTTTCATTTGAAAATAATTAGTCCAATTCCTATTTTATACATACTTTCATACTAGCTTATAAGTCGTTCAGAACGTAACCGCTCCACTTAACCACAATCATTCTACCATAACCATTAAAAATTAAGTGATTGAAGTG